CGAAGGATAAGAACAGGTAAGAAATGCAGGGAATAAATAGTGTGTGATGGGAGGGCTTCTTGGCCTTCCAAGGCCTCTTGGAGATTTCACAGGCTCTTCCTACCGAGAGAATTCTCAAAGCTCAAAGCCATTGGGTGGAGGCCCTGCTTCCCTCCATCTTAAGAAGGATGTGACCGGAACAAATTTCAGTTCTAACAGGATCGCCGTGTCTTCAGAGGGAAAGAACGTTCTCAACCATGAATCTTGTGCCAAGAAATGGTCCTGAGTGTTTTGAGGGGCAATACTGCTTCTGCTGCTGCTCACCCCACACCATCACTTGATATCAGCAGATTATTTCTCTCCAGAGGTTTGGGGCCCCCAAGCAGAGGGCAACACTAGCTGCTGCCCCATGGGGAAGGCAGGGAGGAGGCCAGGACTGAGTTAAGATGCCTAGGTATGCTGAGTTCTAGCTCTAGCTGAACTTCAGTCATTGAGCCTTAGCCTTCTCATTTGAAGAGAGGAGGACATCTTTCCTATTGATATGGAACATCTTCCATGTTGACATGGAATTCTGAGTGCGACACAGTATTGTATGTGAAAATGCCCTGGAGAGCATAAAGTGATGGGCAGATGCTGTTTCTGAATGAGAAGAGTATTGATGCAATAGAGGAAAACATAGACTCTCCTCAGTGAGTTAAGTTTAGGTTTCATGCATCTGCAGATTAAGAAACACATATGGAGTTTCCTCCTTCTTCCAGGAGCTTTCTGTATGTTATACCGTCTGGTCCTCGTTTGCCACATGTTGTAGATGAAAAAACTGAGGCTAATAGAAGATAGACTGATCTGGTTTGCACAGGATCACACAGCTATTAAGAGTAGGGCAGAAATTATCACTCCCATTTCTCTGGATGAGGAAACTGAGGCACAGAGAGATTAATTGATTTGTCTGAAGTTATACAGCCAGCAGGTATAAAAGTGAGACCAGAATCCAAGTCTATTTTTTCTTCTTTTGAGATGGAGTTTCGCTTTTGTTGCCCAGGCAGGAGTACAGTGGCATGATCTCGGCTCCCTGCAACCTCCGCCTCCTGCATTCAGGTGATTATCCTGCCTCAGTCTCCTGCGATTGCAGGCGCCCATCCCCATACCCAGCTAAACTTTTGTATTTTTTTAGTAAAGCCAGGGTTTCACCATGTTGGCCAGGCTGTTCTCGAACTCCTGAACTCAGGTAATCTGCCCACCTCGGCCTCCCAAAGTGCTGGGATTACAGACATGAGCTACCGTGCTTGGACCCTTGAATCCAGGTCTTTTAATGTTACTAATTTAGAGTTCATGGACTACTGAGGGGTTCTTAGAAAGATATCAGAAGGAAAGTTTGCATATGTGTACATTTTTGGGGGGAAAGGGATTCCATATATTGAATCAACTTCTCAAATAAATGAATCAGAAATCTTGGACCTGTAGTTGGTGTGTAAGTAACTCTTTCTGTATTTAAACATTGATCATGCTGCAAGAAAAGCTTTAGTGATGGCAAATTACTCTGGTAATTAAAATGTGCTTGTTACTGTGCTTCAAGGCTGCTAGCCAAAATAATGAATGTGCCTTTGATGCAGCTGACCAACTTGGGTTTTTCTTTCTCCTGGCTTGGTAACCCTTCAATATCTATGAGATATCAAGATCAAAATTTTTTCTTCTGATACCACATTTTGTTTAATCTTCAACCTAGATGCATACCCTGGAAGAAAAAAGACTATAATTTAACTCTTCAACAATCAGGGTTGCCTGTCTCCAACCCCTTCTGAATCTAGTTATGTTGAATATTGGGAGAAAAGCATGTAGACTCTTGGGTGCCTGACCTTTCTCAGTTTTCTCTGGAAGGGCTTTACCGAAGGGCACAGAAGAATAATGTCTCTACAGCGTGGACCCAGGGTCTCCTCCCCACCAGGAACCCAGCTTAGCAGGCAGGCTGTTCATGTGGAACACGCCAAAACCCCGGGTGCAGGTGGATGTCAGAAGACACCAAAGAACCACACGATTGTCCCTGCCTTTTAAGGTCTCATTCCTTGTTATTTTTTTCATTTCCTCAACAAGCATTTATAGAGCACCCAGTATGTGCTACATTTTGAGGATATAGTGATGAAAAACACAGACAAGATCCCTGCCCTTGTGGAGTCTATATTCAAACCAGAACTTGACCTCAGCTTCCCAAAATGAGAGACTGACTTAACAAAGGGGCCATCTGGCCATTAACTGTTATACACCCTCTGCTTGGGTGACACGGTCTCACCCTCCCTCCACCCTCAAGTCCGACAGGAGAGAGACTTCAGAGTGGCCCAAACAATCTAAAGTGAAAGTGAACAGAGCTCAAAATAAGTCCACAAGAGCTGAGGGGAGACCAAGGAGAAGATAATGCAGTGAGGGCAGTGAGAGAGGGATTCCTAGAGGAATTGCACCTTGCTTTGAGTTTTGGCCCTAAACTACAAATCCTAGCTCATTTCTAAGTAGATGCTGATGGCTGGCTTCTATTTGGCCTGCCATATTGAATGACTTTCTCTACTTAACATGGTGGAGATTTAGTTAACCCAGAGCAGAAAACCCCCTGGGAAAGAAAGTCTGAGCTACAACACTAGCTTTCTGAATGGACAAGATCTGAGGAGCTGGGATGGTAGCAAGGGAGAAGGCAGCTGAGTGGGGTTTCTTCTGGGAAACAATGTGGATGCAAGATGTGGTCCTTGTCCCTGGCCTGCATTTAGCCCTTTAGTATTTCAGATGGGCCAGCTCTTGTTCTGGCACCTGCTTTCTGTAACTCTGCAGCAAGCCAGCAGCCTCGAGTCCACCCCCTCCCCTTCCCAGGGCTCTGGGGTGAAGTCCTTCCCAGGAACTCCCTGGCTCCCTGTACCCATGGGAGAAGCTCTTTTCAACTGACATGATTTATTTTAACAATAAGGGAAAAACCACATCTAATTTCCACAGAATCAGAGTTCCTCCCACACGCCTGGACTTGTCAGTTGGAAAGGACACTCTCAAGCCAGTATGCCATTTGCCATTCTGCTGTTTCTTTGCTTGGAGGGAAGAGATGCCTGTTTCCGTAGGGAGGAAGTTTGAAGTGAGAGGAGCAGACAAAGATGCTGTGAATGGAAAGAGCTCTGGACTGAGAGTTCAGGGATGTGGCCTCCAGTCCCAGCTCCCCCACTACTCAGCTGTCTGGTTTGGGGAAAAACTCTTCTCTCTGGGCCTCAGCTGTTTCCTCATCTATAAATGAGAAGGCTGGGCCAGATGCGCCTTCATGTCTGGTGTAGTGAAGAGCTGAAGTGGGCTGCCTATGACTGCACCCAGCTCTGCCACACCCCACCTGGGTGTCTTTGGGTGAGATACTTAGTAGCTCCAACTCTCATCTTCTTCATCCAAAATGATGGGCACAAAAATAGCATTGACCTCATGGAATAGGCACGAAGATGAAAAGAGATAGTGCATATAGTGCTTAACATGGACCCTGGGCAGGCAATGTGCTCAGTACTTAGTAGCAATTCGTGTGAGTCTACTCTTTCAGTCTATGAATTTTGTTAGAGGAACTGCTGCTTACCAGGCCTCTGCTTTAATAAAACATGACTGGAGTGACTCCATCCTGAAGTGAGTAGCTAGGCACTCACAAGGCACTACAGGGTTAATGCTTTATGATCTGAAAATAGCCACATTCTAAGCTGACCATCACTTATGGTTACAGAAGATGGATGGCCATACAGGACATCTCCCACCAAGCCTGCAGCATGTCCAGATGTCCCAAGTGCAGCCCACTTTACTCAGAGATAGCGTCAATGAGCAGACTTATATGAGCAGATGGCAACAATGAGAAGGTTGAAGGCTTAATGGTCACTAGAGCACCAACAGTCCCTACCTTTAGTGAGCACATCTGCACATTCCAAGTGTAATCATAGCTCCGTATAGTTTCTCACAAGCAGAGACACTGCTAAATGACAGGCGTTCTTCCTCCTGCTCTCTGGGCATGCCCTACTCTCTAATGGAGTAGTTTCCGACAAACTTGCTTCTTTCTCTGTGCCCCAATTTTTCCCTGTGTGAGATCTAAGAACCCACTCTTAAGGTCTAGGTTGGCATCCTCTTTTCTGGCAATATCTTGAGTATGTGACCATGAGAAATGTTAGAAGTTGGGCGGTGGCTCACACGTGTAATCCCGGCACTTTGGGAGGCCGAGGCAGGTGGATCACGAGGTCAAGAGATTGAGACCATCCGGGTCAACATGGTGAAACCCCGTCTCTACTAAAAATACAAAAATTAGCTGGGCATGGTGGCATGTGCCTGTAATCCTGGCCGCTCAGGAGGATGAGGCAGGAGAATTGCCTGAACCCAGGAGGCGGAGGTTGCAATGAGCCGAGATCGTGCCATTTGGACCCAATACCATTCTCTGGTTCTCCCAGAGACACAAGGCTACAGGAGAGTAAGAGTCTGCCTTCTCCCAAAGCTGATACCTCCCTGGGCCAATGTGGGTGATGCGTTGCCTAGAAAGAGGTGCTGTTATGATAAGTTTATGTTGGTGGGATCAGGGAAAGAAATAACAGGTTTGTATGGAGTGTTATGGAATAATTAAATCTTAACCTTCCACTGAGGTAAGATGATGGAAACAACCATAGCCAAGGAAAGACTGAATATCTTTTTATTTTCTTTGCAGAAAACAACAATAAAAAGTATTGTCATAGAAGAAGGAAACTTCTTCTTAAATTAACTCCTGACAAAAAGTTGTTAGAAATTAGAGCGAAAGGGACATAAACATTTGGACCCAATACTGTTCTCTCGTTCTCCCTGACAAAAAGTTGTCAGGAGTTAATAAATAAAATGTTGGGGTTTTTTTCCCCTGGATTTTATGATGTTTGTGGTATTTGTTAGCTTTCTTGAATTTGTAATTTGTCGTGATTTCTCTTTCTGAATAAACATTTACTTTTGTCTCTAATTTTGTATTTCTATTTTTGAATTCAATTTTTTTCCCAGATGGGGTGTCACTATGTGGCCCAGCTGGAATGCATGGGTGCAATTACAGCAGACTGCAGTCTTCAGCTCCTGACCTCATGCAATCATCCTGCCTCAGCTTCCTGACTGCAGGTGCACACGGGGACTACAGGTGTGTACTAACACGCCCAGCCTTTTTTTTTTTTTTTTTTTTTTTGGTAGAGATGTGGTCTCGCTTTGTTGCCCATACTGGTCTCCAACACTTGGCCTCAAGGGAACCTCCCACCTTGGCTTCCCAAAGTGCGGAGATTTCAGGTGTGAGCTACTGCGCCTACCCTGAATTCAATTTCTTAAAAGGACCCTCCCCACTCAATTGTATGAGCTATAGCAGTTTCCAGATTTAGCAAATACAAATACAAGATATCCAGTTAACTTGGAATTTCAGGTAGATAAACACTGATATGTTTTCATGTGAAATTCCAAGTGAAATGTGTATCTTGTATCCAGTGGGAATATAAAAAAAGAAAGCAGTGGTCAACTCAACCAGGGTTGAAGTGGGGAGAAGGAGGAGAGTGGGGAGAGGAAAAGAAGAGGAGAGAAGATTCACAAAGGAAGTCACATCAGAGCTAGGTCTTGAAAGTTAGGTTGTTAGGTTGGTGTTTGCAAGGTAGGAGAGCCAGGGGAGCTTTCTAGGTAAGATGAGCCTGTGAGGTATGGGAGCTCTGCAAGAGTGATGAGGCGGAAAACATAGGCAAGGTTCAGGCTGTGATGGGTCTGGATGCTGTGGGGAGCAGATTTTTCAAAGGATAGGCCCCCGGGCGTCATGCTGGGAGTTTTAGACTGGAGAGTTTCAAGACTGGGTTTGCGTTTTAGAAGGTACTGCCTAGGGAAGAGTGGATTGTTCAGGAGAGGAATGAGGAGGCACCAGTTGGGCTCTTTCCATTACCTATTCCTCCATTCCATCTGCACTGAAGCTCTTCCATAACATTTGAGTCCCAGAGCCTATTGACATAGATGTGTCACCCAGGATCTGATGCTCTAGATAAACAGGCTTTGACTGAGAGCCCTGTGGGCAAACAAGGAGGAAGAGAAGAAAGTCCAGGCTGAAGTGGCATAGGTGCCCAAGGTGGATTTGCGTTTCCTTCCCCAGGAGTACAGGAGTGGCCAGTTTGGATTTCCTTAGATCATCAGCTTCCTGGGTAATGACAAGTCAGAACAGCTTGGGTTGGGAGAGTTACATCACCTCCCCTGCTGAATGGGCTTGAGGTCCCTCACAAGTTCCTTTCCACTTTACCTGATCCCGAGTGAAAGGGCGACATGTGATTAGAAAGGGCGCTGAGCCAGAGGTGAGGAGATGGAGGTTTGAAAGCAGTCATGCTGCTTCCTTGCTGTACCAGGGAGGGCTGGTTCACTTCTCTATTTCTTCATTGCTGTAATGGGAACACTGAACAGGGTTCTTTTTGTTAACATTTTCTGACCCTCATTTCCAAATATCACAACAAAGGAGAACCAAATCCAATGAGGAATAAAAAATAAAAGAAGAAGACATTTAAACATCTATATATTCTGTTTTAAAAATTCCTATTAGCTTCCCAAATAAAGTATCCATCCATCGTTATCAGTAATATTTCTTTCTTTTACAAATTTGTTCTCTGTCATACTTCTTAGTGTTTTATAGTCCTCATAATGATAGGTTCTTTCTCAAATCTAACCAAAATTACTCACATAGGTCTAATGCATTTCATCCAAATCCTGCAATAGGGCCACACATTGCTCAACTCCATGGAGCCTCATTCCCATAAAAGGCAATAGGCATGGTACCCTCTGGAATTACGCAATTTTTACATGCACTCCAGGACTCAGTGCTTAGGAATGGCCAGGATCCATTCTTTTATGGGAAGAAAATTGCCCTGGCATCACTATGAAAAATTCATGAAGTTGGAGTGCATGTTGGGTAGGGATGAGAAATTGGAAGGCATGAGAGAGCTGTGTCCAGTACATGTCAAACTCAGAGCATTCCACTCTGGCTTGCCAATCTTCCTTCACATTTTCCTGCTTCCCTATTTAACAAGTGGAAAATTGAGCTCTGATATCTCAATGGTGGGTCCATTGGTCCGAGAAGTCCCAATTCTAAGACTAGATGCAACCTTATGTCTAGAGACCAGACTCATAATTTAATTGCAATCCTGGGAAAGATGCCATTCTATCTCAATCTATTTTCTTATCTTTGATATTAGGGGTCAGGCAGCAAGGCTTAAGATGAAGAGAATTTATTTCTCATTGTTCCCCCTTTTTCCTGATTTAGGAGCTCTAAAGGGGACTGTAACATTGATAACAAATGTCATCATTTTCAAGTTGCTTATTATGTGCCAGGCACTGTGCTGAGGACTTATGTGGAATCACTTCATCTTCATGCTGTGCCTACATGGTGAATGTGCAGTAGACAGGATCTGTACCATTTTACAGATGAGTAAACAGGCACTGAGATTCAGTGGCTTTCAGAAGGCATTCAGCCTGACGCCCATAGAAAGCAGAGCCAGTCAACCCAGCTTCCAGTACCAGCCATTATGATATACTGCATGCTAGAAGCAGAGCTATAAACACATCACTATTTCCCTTTCCCTGCAAGCTTCCTGATATGACATATTTGCCCTGAAATGAAAGCTGGGTCATAATATACAGTCTGAGCACAGGGGTGAATGTAGGGTGAGACTGAGCATGGATAGTGTTGCAATCCTCTCGCATGTGCAGAGGGGCTCTGGGCCAGGCAGCTCAGGCCCTGCTGGGAAAACTGCACCCACCCCCCTACATCCGACCCCTCTGGGGGAAACAGGGGTGAGGATTAGGGGAGATTCCTGAGATCAAGAGCAGCTCTTTGCTCCCTCTCCAAAGGAGCAGAGAGATGTCCACTAGCTCCTAACAAAGGTGTCTTCTCCTTTTCCAGGTGCCTGGCATAGAAACACATAATATTTATTAAGGAGTACTTACTATGATGTAGGTCCATTAGCTCATTCAAATCCTCACGGTTTATTTTACGGACTTTAGAAAGGCTTTAAGTAGCTTGTCCAGTGTCTATAGACCTAATGCATTTCATCCAGACTCTGTGATAAGGCCAATATTGCTCAACTCCGTGGAGTTTTATTCCCATAGAAGGCAATAGGCATGGTACCCTCTCTGAGCCTGGCTGGCCACACCCTCATCTTATTTCCTTAATTGTTTTATTTCTTCTTTAATGTATAAATGATTAATCATTATTATGAAATTCCTTCTTCTTCTGAGTCTTGACATGCAGCTTCTGGAAAAAATAAACCCCCCATCTCCATGCAAATGAGAATTTTTTGCAATTCCATGTCCATACAGAAAAATCCAAGTTAGATCACCTTCCTGAGAGTTGTGGCATGCTACTAAGAAGAGAAGAGAAGAGAGAGAGCCAGGATTTAAATGTAGAACTATATTGTGAAGCACTATAGTCTACCACTTCCCTCAATACTTACCATTTTATTATGTCCAAGATGCTGGACCACAAGACATCAAGTCCCTGGGATTTCTTTCCCTTGCACCTGTCCCACAAAAGGCCCCCATCCTTCCTGTCCCTTTTCCTTCTTTGCCGTTACCCTGTTGCCCTCTCCGTCTCCCCAGTCTGGCTGCAGGGTTTGTACCAGCCCGATGGGGTCTCATAATTGCACCTCATCCCCAGGTCACTTCATTCGGTTAAAAATAAGCTCCATTTATTCTGGGAGTCTGTGTTTGGGGATGTCAAAAGACAAAATTATAATACATTTAGTTTAAAGATCTTAATTGGCTTTTATTTGCAATTCTGGAATCAGACAACCTCTTATTTTATAAAAATAGAATGAGTGGTCCCATGAGCTGACAGAGGAGTGTAGCTTTATAGGCAGAAAAGGGCTGGAGGAAGCAGAAACAGAGAACAAAAAGCAGGTTGGTCATTTTAAAGTTACTTTCCTTGTAAAGGTTAGAGCAGAGGAGACTTCCTTATGTGCTGAATAAAACTGGCTTGTTTGAGGATTTGGCTATTTTCTTTCTCTCTCCTGATCTCTCAGAAGGTTAGATAAACAATTTAGTTTCAGCATGGGTGGTGTGGAGCTTGATCCAGCATGAGCGACTCTGCTTCGGTTTGGCTTGTTGGCCTAGTGCAGTAACTCAGTCCAAACTAATCACCTCCTAGAAATTTTATTTAATGGGAAGAAACTGCTTCGTATACCCTACCTTTTCATTGCCCCAAACCCTGATCCTAGAGAACTTCATGGTAAAGAGTTTATGTAAAAAGATAATTTAGGTAGAGGGTCTTCTATCTCAAGAGTAAGGATTTCAGGTCCTGGCTCTGCCACTGGCTGTTCTTAAACCTCTCTTCTTTCCAGTGTCATTTTCTTTCTCTCTCTGCATTAATCAAGAACAAGAGAACCCTCCAGGGGACAAGATGAAGGGGAAAGAGATGATATGCAAATAAATCCTTGCTTTATGTGGGGGAAAAATGTTCCCCATGAAGTTCAACAAAACAATGCAGGTAAAGCAGTTAGCTAGTGCTTGGCACATGGCAGACACTCAGCTGCCTGAGGCATTGGAGAGCTGGATCATGGTGGAGCCAGAGGCACCTGCACAGCCTCATGGGCTGGCTGCTGCAGGGTGTGGCTGTCTGAGAGTGCTTTCCTGAGTTGGCCTAAGTTAGGTCACTTTCCTGAGAGCTATGGCACAGTTGGTAACATGCCATAGCTCTCAGGAAAGTGACCTAACTTAGATTTTTCTGCATGGACATAGAATTGCCAAAAAATTCTCATTTGCATGGAGATAGGGAGTTTATTTTCCTAGAAGCTACATGTCAAGACCCAGAAGAATGAGGCAGTTCATAATAATGATTAATCAGCTCTATCTTAAAGAAGAAAGAAAACAATTAAGGAAATAAGATACTAAGAAAACAAGGGGAAAAACAATCTCCGCAAGGTGGATCCACCCAGCAAACCTTGACAGCATTTCCTCTTATCCACCTGAATAAAAATGACCAGCCCTTTCCAAATGGCAGAGAGCACTGAGAGGAGAACTGAGGAGCAACCGGCAAACGCCAAGTGAGAGGTAAGGCTCATGCTGCCCGTCGTCAGCGGCTCATACGCACCGCCGTGCTAGCCCTCCTCCTTCACGGCCGCAGGGAGGTGACCTGTCACCATTGTGTGTGGCTAGGATGCTCCAGATGCTGGGCATTTGGTAGAATGTGACGGGGTACTCTATAGAGGAGGCGATTTTTCTAGGATCTTATTTTCAATGTGAAGAGATAGAGAGTGGGAAGGAAGGAGGGAAGGACAGAAAGGTAAGGGATCTAATGTCTTTACTGTTGCTTTTTTGTTCCAAGAACTGTGTTGGGCATTTTATGTGTTATCATTTTTTTAGTCTGTTGCAGTATGAAACATCTTTTTAAATGTAGTGAGCACCACTGGTTCAGAAATGGGTTCCTGTCTGTCTGGTGTGAGGGAGGCTACCGGGACAGCAGGCTGTGATGCCAGAGGGAAGCAGTGTTGTAAGTGGAGTGGCAGTAGAGAGAGCCGGCTCAGGGACCAGTCCGCCTTCCCTCAAACCCTGGCTTGGGCAGGTTACTTCACTTTCCAGGTAAAATGAGGATAGAAATCGAGCCAGCCTCACAGGGTGGTCGTGAGCGTTAAATGAGAAAATTGTGTAAAATACATGCCCAGTGCCCAGTGCACACATCACGTAGGGTAAATGCCACCTGCTACTAACATCTGAATCAGGCAAGATGTCTGCAATTGCCTCACCAAGCTAAGGGAGGCATCTTTCTCCTCGACAAAATGTGTGAGGTTCCTGGCCTGGGATGAGCAGGCAATGTCCCACTGCTTCTGAGGATTATCTTGTCAGAAGAAGACCCACCTTCTCTTACTTGGCTTTCTAGAAGCACCCCAGTAGCCTTTAGAGGGGACAGAACTCTGGAGGACTCTCCACAAACTTCCCTGGCAATGGGGCCCATCCTTGTTTAGCCAGAAAGAAAGGTTGAAAAAGAGGAAAGGAACTCTTTGCCCTAATGCCTGCCATGTGGTGAGGTCTCAACATACACCTGTCCGTTCCCTGGGTATGATGCAACTTAAGGAGAGACAAGGCAAAAATGGTTTCTGAACAGGATTTGCTGTTTCCTGGCTTTCCAGAGGAGGAGATGGGAATCCTCAGGAAGGCGTGGGGAGTGGGGGCAGCTGGGGTTCACACTCACATGTGTGAGTTACAGCAACTCTAATGATCACTCTGCAGTCCCCACAGCTGGCTCCCTGTGTCTGATGCCCTCCTCTCCACAGCCACACATGACACACTTACCTTGGCACACACAGCTGGAAATGGGAGATCTCAGTGGGCACCACGCCAGGTGCATGGAAGAGGGCTGCTCTAGTCACATGTGTTGTCATAAGACATGCATTAAGACTAAGCTCTATTTGTAAGCTGGTGCAAACGTGGGGGAAAGCAGAGATAACTCCATAAGCTGTACCATTATATATTATGCACTTTTCTCTGTGTGCATTCTATGGTACAATATAAAGTGGTTAAATGAAGAGGCAGCAAGAAAGACGGAGGCGAGAAGGGTAAGAGAAAGAGAAGAGGTGGCAAACATCTCAGGGTCTGGCCCTGCCTGGGAAGCAGCTAGCTGCAAACATGCTTCTCGTACCCTTTGGCTCAGCGGGTGATGGATGGGAAGTTGCCAAGGTGCCCTCTACCTTTGGCATCTTCCCCCAGCTCCTCACTGTGGCTAATTAGTTATAGAAGATGGCTTGTGCCTCCCTTTCCCATCCTCTCTAGCCTAGCTGGCATCAAACAAATGATTTGAAGCAGATACACTCTTGAGGTTTATAGTAAAAGCGTGTCACTTATTTAGGGGCAAACATCAAAAACCAAGTGTGCTTTTATGGTTTTTCACATCTGTTTCCCAATTCCCAGGACATCTTACCAACCCTGCTTTTACTATTTAATTTATTAAAAACAATGCTTTTCACCCCTGTTGACAAAGTAGGCTGCGTTGAGTCATAGGAGAGTTATATGCACACAAGTATGCTTCCTGGGACTTAAGAGAGTGTTGTATCGTGCTTTCTGGGGTGGAGGTGGGGGCATGGGGGCGGTGCGGAAGAACCCATATCCAGTTGATTCAAGAAGACCAGAGAAGGAGACACATGCCTCTGAAACTCCTCAAGGCTGAAGTATTTAGTCTTGTTCTCTTGTATGCCGCCTGGCCTGCCTTCGAGATTGGAGGGGGGCATCAATCAAGGGGCTTCTCTTTCATTGCCCTCCACTCTTGGCCGGACAGCTGATTTCCTCCCCTTTTTGCAGGCATGAAGTTACAGTCTGTTTCCCTCTGGCTCCTGGGTATAATTCTGATTTTGTGCTCTGTGGACAGCCGTAGTTTCAGGAGATGTCTGATTTCCACAGACATGCACCATATAGAAGAGAGTTTCCAAGAAATCAAAAAAGCCATCGTGAGTATGAGTTGGGGTAAAGGTGTGGGTGATGGGGCATGCCTCCCCTTGCATCTTAGCTTGAAAATGAGTTCCTTCTTATTACATTTTGCATCTCAGGAGAACGTGGGCTACCGATTGCTTATGTCTGTTCTTACGTTTCCCTCCACAGCAAGCTAAGGACACCTTCCCAAATGTCACTGTCCTGTCCACATTGGAGACTCTGCAGAGCATTAAGGTATTGGCCTGTGTCTGATTTTTCTAGTGTTTTTATCTTCACGTCTAAATGGCTCTGGGCTGAGAAAGAAATTCCTATCTTGTTCTCTTCTCTTTCCTACTCTCCAATGTACTCTAAATGCACCAGGCTTCTTCTTTGTCAGCTGACGTGTTAGGGCATGCTAGTGTCCCAGGGACTCGTGACCCCTGGGAGGAATTAAAGAAGTGCCACTTTCTAGAGAGTGATTGGGGGTGTCAAGTGCTCAGAGGGGACAGGATTTCTGTGGGTTAGGAGTAATTTTGGAAGATCCCATGAAGGTAGCTAAGAAAACAAACCGTGAGTTAAAAGCCAAGGAAGTTGTAGGTTAGTCGATAAGAGGGAGGAAGGTATTTGGGCAGCATAAGAGAATAAGAGAATGGGTTTAAGATCAGTGAAGGTCGCAAGAGGTGAACTGGAGGACATATGAGTGAGTGGTGGGAGATGAAGTGAAAAAATACCTTGGAGTCATTTTATAAAGGTCCCTGGAGCCAGGCTGAGCCTCAGGCTTATAATACAGGCAATAGGCTGGGTACAGTGGCTCATGTCTGTAATTTCAGCATTTTGGCAGGTTGAGGCAGGCAGGATTGCTTGACCTCAGGAGCTTGAGACCAGCCTGGGCAACATAGCAAGACCTCATCACTGCAAAAACAAAACAAAATAAAAAAAATCAGCAGGGCATAGTGGTATGCAACTGTAGTCCCAGCTACTTGGGGGACTGAGGCAGAAGAATTGCTTGAGCCTGGGAGGTCAAGGCTGCAGTGAGCCATGATCATGCCACTGCATGCCAGCCTGGGCGCCAGACTGAGACACCCAAAAAGAATAAAAGAATATATGTTAGGGCACACTAGTGTCCCAGGGGCTTGGAAACCCTGGGAGGAATTAAAGAAGTGCCACTTCCTAGAGAGTGATTGGAGGTGCCAAGGGCTCAGAGGGGACAGGATTTCTGTGGCTTTGGGGTAATTCTGGAAGGTTCCATGGAGGTAGAAAAGAATAAAAGAAAATAATAATAGCAATAGAGAGTCACTGAGGTTTTTAAGCCCAAAGTTATATGATCATAAGTTGTTTTAGAAAGACAATCCGATGCTCTTCTTACAGTGGACAACATGAGGCAGTCCAACCATCTAGACAGGAGGTGAGGAGAGTATGTTACAGAGCAGCTGGCTTACCAGGTGATCATTCATTTTACAAAAAGGGCCATGAGAGATACCTTTACGAGTGAACTCCTCCAGTCCTGGGAAGCATTCTAGAAAAATCCAGTTTTGGGGGGTATTTTATATGACAGAGTGTAAAGTATATTTGTATTGAGTTACTCTTCTCTCAGGTTTCTCTGCATACGTGAGAGAGACACACATACACCCTCCTTGATAATTCTTCTAAGCAGTGATTTATTTGTGGTGAACAATGATTTCATTGTTCACCACAAATAAATCACTGCTTAGAAGAATTAGCCACTTAATACACTTAATAAATAATGTTCTAGCCCCTGTAGACACATAAGATATGACAGCTGGAAGGGAACCAAAAGACCTTTTATTCCAAAACTATTCAACTGACGGCATTGAGACCTTGGGAGGGAGCATGACTAGTTAGTAGCAGAGCTAGGAATAGACCCCAAGTAAATGCCCCCACCTTCAGATTCTTTCTCCTCTCAAGGTTGGGAAGTAGCCTATGTGGAAGAAGAAAAGGAGTCAATAAGGATTCAGGTCTTTATCATATCCTCCCCTCCTCTCCCCCCTCCTCCTTCCCCTCCCCTCCCCTCTCCTCTCCTCCTCTCCCCTCCTCTCTTCCTTACCCCTTCCTTTCTCCTTCATTTCCCTTCCTCTCTCCTTCCCTCCCTTTCTCAGCCCCACCTTCATTTTTTCAGCAGTGTTCCTTTTTTCTAGTACCACAGTCTTTGACAGTGCAGAGGGGTGTAACATTTTGCCCTTCTGGTTAAGGGAATCAGCAAGAGTGAAGGAAGAGAAGGGTTTTCATTTTGCCATCTAGGAAAAGCTGCCACTGGGGCCAAGGAGGCTTTGTTTCTTGAATACTAATCAAGATGAATGTGCTGTCCTAAACCACTCCCCGCTTAGACTGAACAGTTAATCTTCTGCAGAGTAATTTACTGGCTGTCAGGGCGGGTGGCTTCTAGTTGGCTAGAAGGAAACTGTCTAGCCAACTTCTCTGGGCTATGCCTGGGAATTTAGAGACCATTTCTTCGGGACCACTGCACTCTGCAGGCTGCAGACCTACCCAGATACGCCCATTTCTGCAGCTGTTAATCTCCCTTCTTGCAAATCTTAGCCTCATTCCAGTGATCCTTCTGGTTTTAAAAGGACAGACTGGAGGACAGGCCAGCAGTGTGGCCAGAATGAATGCAACGTGATTACCATTGCAGGAACGCGTGCCTAGGGTATGACTGGCATGCAGGAGCCCTTGCCTATTACCACATGAAGTTGGACAAAACAGAGGGGCCAACTTCAGCACCTGTAATATAAGGAAGTCCTTTCCGAGAAAGCTACTCAGCTATCAGTCCTCTTAAAAAGGAAGACTGGTTCCTGGAAAGATTTAAGTCGAAGTTAGTGATGACACGCTAGGGATACTGTAGAGAGAATTAGTCTGTGACTGATTCTGGGCCCTATCCTTCCTTGGTAAATGTATTTCTTGGCCATACAAAAAAAGGGGTGAACTGGAATCTCTTCTCACCATCTTTGTCATAGTAGCTTTGATGGGAATAAGAGAGGATGAGTACTCTGAGACCATTACGAATTTTTCCAAAATGACTTTTGATTCTTTCGTGTGTTGCTGCCCCTACTCAAATGGACTGCTCTGGTCTCCACCATAATGAGAGAAGAGGCCTCTAGGAGTTTCACTAATTTGTGTTTGTAGCCCTTAGATGTGTGCTGTGTGACCAAGAATCTCCTGGCGTTCTATGTGGACAGGGTGTTCAAGGATCATCAAGAGCCACACCCCAAAATCTTGAGAAAAATCAGCAGCATTGCCAACTCTTTCCTCTACATGCAGAAAACCTTGCAGCAATGTGTGAGTCACTGGGTCCGGATTCCAGCATCTGCTCCCCGTCTGCCCCAGGAGAGGCCAGGAAATGCTGGCCCCCACTGACCTCCAGATATGGTGCCTGGAGTCAAATTCTCTGCCCATGTCCACAGGGAGAACTGTTGAGAACATCGCCCAGTGCCCACTGCTTCCTCAGGGCTCCCTGCCTGCTGACAACTCCACAGAGGGTCTCCTCCTACATGGGGTGACCAGCTGAGGTCAGCATATTCCTTAGTAAGAGGCATGCCAAGGATTCCAGTTCTACCATAAGCATACCCCTGGTTTCTCTATTTCTGGCCCTTTGGGGTCTCTGTATCAACAAACCTCTGGGTAGTTCCTTGGTATGGCCTATTCCTAAAGGTCACCAGGAAATTCATTGCAATCTATTCAAATCCAACATAGAAACAAAACCAAAGGAAATCAACAAAAACTTAGACCAGGAGAGAACCTGGGTTCTAGCCCCATTCCCGCTAATGATTTCCTGTGAGACTTTGTGGCAAGGGATTCACCTCTCTGTGCCTCAGATTCTAAAATTGCTAGAAGGCATGATGACTCCTGTTCTACTTGCATTAATATGATAATGAACTCACCTAACCAGTTACTTAATTAATAATTGGTTAAAATGTTTATTGAATGCCTGCCCTGTGGGGTGAGACAGATATGGTGCCTGGCTTCCATATGCCAGACTATGCTGACAGTCTGATGGGGTCTAAATGCAGAAAATCAAAAGCTGTGGGCAAATGTAGGTGACTCTACAGATGAGTTCAATTCTCCTGTGGCTGCTCTCACCTGAGTTTACTCAGCTGACTTCACTGTGAGAGGGAAGAGCAATGTCACTCCTCATGCAGGGAGGTAGGAGTAAGAGAGGGTCAGGGTTGAAATGTCCTCTGATAGGAACTTTCTCCACTTTATCACAGCAGGAACAAAGGCAGTGTCACTGTGGGCAGGAAGCCACCAATGTCACCAGAGTCATCCATGACAACTATGATCAGGTAAGATCTGGGAGTCAAGGTGGGGAAGATGGAAGATGAGAGGCAGATCAGGAGGGTACGAACCCTTCAGCCTCCTCTCCACTCAAATTCATGCGTTCACTCTATAAGCAGTCATGTGGGCAGCTCAATTCTCTGTGTCTGTAAAGAGAGTTTTGATCTTACCTCATTTGCGAATCCCCTGGGCTCCCCATCTCCATCATTCTTCCACCATTTTCTCCTACTCTTATATATCAAGCCTGACCTGTATGATTCTGGGGGAAAGCACTCACTGCTTAGGATGGGATGACACAGAGAGAACAAGGTTCCCCCATGAATTGTGAGCTGTTACTCACGGAACGTGTTACCTGCATGCTGTCACTGCAAACACTATTTGCCCTCCCGTATTCTGTGTAGTGATGAAGATATGGTCTTCTCATGTTAATGTTAGTGTAAAATGCACATCTTATGTGGATGTAGAGGGAGAAGCAGTGCTTCTCATGAGCATCAGTAGAAGATCTTGTTAAAATGCAGATTCTGGCCAGGTGTCATGGCACACGCCTGTAACCCTAGCTCTTTGGGAGGCCGAGGTGGGTGGATTGGGAGGTCAAGAGATCGAGACCATCTTGAACAACATAGTGAAACCCTGTCTCTGCTGAACATACAAAAAATAGCTGAGTGTGGTGGTGTGTGCCTGTAGTCCCAGCTACTTGGGAGGCTGAGGTGGGAGAATCGCTTGAACCCCGGGGAAGGGGATGGAGGTTGCAGTGAGCTGAGATTGGGCCACTGCACTCCAGCCTGGTGACAGAGCAAGATTCTGTCTCAAAAAAAAAAAAAAAAAAAATGCAGATTCTGGTTCAGCAGGGCAGGGGTGAGCCTGAGTTTCTGCATTTAGATCACACTGTCAAATGTCAATACTTTGAACAGCAAAGAGGTAGGGAACCTGTTATGGCCTCTGCTTCTTTGTGGAGAAGCTCTGTAGGATAATGTAATAGAAATAGCTAAGAGTTACATGGTTTCTTGTAAGTCAGGTATTCTTCTAGGCACACAAGTATTCACACACATCTGTCCTTTGCAACAATGCTGAGTCATTATCTGCATTGGATACATTAAGAAACTGAGGCTCAAGGCCAAGTAGCTAAGTTCAGGCTGCAACTGCATGGCAGAGGCGGGATTCAAGCCCAGCTGGCTGGCTCTACAGGACATGCGAAAAGCACGAACTCAGTCTGCTGAGGAAGGAGAGGGAATAAGGCAGGAGACCTGGGTTCCAATTTCAGCTCTGTTACCACCTGGCTGTGTGACATTGGGTAGAACACTAGTCCATAGGGGATTTAGTGCTCTGACATGTCACATGGGGACACCATGCTCTCCTGACCCACTGTCCAGCATCACAGGGAGGAAGATGTTCTGGGATACAGAAACACTAAAGCAAGCTGATGTGGAGAAGAAAATCAGCAGAAGAACTGCCCAGTAAGGCAGATTTTTTGTTTCCTGCAATAAACAGAAGGCGGGGGTAAAAATAAGGGAAAAGAATGAAGCATTTTAAAGTTTTCTTTATAAGGAGCTGACATGATTTAACTGCTTGTTTGTGGGAAAAAAATTGGTTGCCTGTAAGAAAAATAATTTTGAGTCTGTATGTTATGCAAATATATTTCGTGACTTAAAAAATAAAAAAAAACCTTGTAGGGACCAGCATATGAAGAAAGTGACTTGAAAACCATTACACAGTCTAGAAAGGTGGTTTCTTACAATGATCTCTGATTTCAGCTGGAGGTCCGCTCTGCTGCCATTAAGTCCCTGGGAGAGCTCGATGTCTTTCTAGCCTGGATTGATAAGAATCATGAAGTAACATCCTCAGCTTGATGACAAGGAGCCTGTGTAGTGATCCAGGGATGAACACCCCCTGTGCAGTTTGCTGTGGGAGACAGCCCACCTTGAAGGGGAAGGAGATGGGGAAGGCATCTGTGTTTATCCGAATGAGAAAACTCCTTGCGAATTTGGAATTCTCTTCTCTGGGGTTGGGGAGAACCTGGGTTTGGGCCGATCTCGCCTTGCAGCTGAAAGTCCCATTGGCTGGCCTCAGGCTGTCTCATCCCACTTGAAAATAGCCAAAAAGTCTACTGTGGTAATAATGATAAACTCTATCCACTGAAAGGGCCTGCAGCCCATCTTGGGAGAAAGGACTGCCCCCTCTCTAATTTATTGTGAAGTCATATAGTCCATGTCTGTGATGTGAGCGAGTGATATCTTGTAGTACACATTGTACTGACTGGTTTTTCTGAATAAAGTCCATATTTTACCTATGAGTGGAAGTGTCTTTTCATTCAGGGATAGTCAGTCAAGGAATCAGAAATGGAGACAATTAGAAATGAAAAGAGCCTTAAAGAACATAGCAGGGAAGGTGAGTCCTAGAGGGGGATAAGAATGTACCCAGGGTCTCAAAGCAAGTTAGTGCAAAAAAGGGTTCCAATCAGTGCCAATTCTCCGGCCAGCACCCTTTCCTCCACATAAAAATCTGGAAGACGGGATGGATGCCTCTGCCACTGACTTCTCCACATCCCTCCATTTCTGATCTCGCTTTCTCTGTGTCTCTGAGTCTCTCTCCATTTCTCTGATTTTTCTCTCTGTACTTGTCTTTTTCTGTCATTTCTTTTTTTCTTTTTCTTTTTTTTTTTTTTTTGAGACAGAGTCTAGCTCTGTCGTCCAGACTGGAGTGCAGTGGCATGATCTTGGCTCACTGCAGACTCCACCTCATGGGTTCAAGTGATTCTCCTGCCCCCGCTTCCCAAGTAGCTGGGATTACAGGCTCGCACCACCATGTCTCGCTGGTTTTTTGTATTTTTAGTAGCAATGGGGTTTCACCCTGTTGGCCAGGCTGGTCTTGAACTCCTGACCTCAAGTGATCTGCCTGCCTCAGCCTCCCAAAGTGCTGGGATTACAGGCATGAGCCACCATGACTGGCCTTTGTTATTTCTTTCTTAGGACTCTCAACCTAGATCTATCTTCCCTGACCCCAACCCATCCTCCATGGGTGAATGCACTGGGCTGAGGAGAGGATGTTTCTGACAGAGGGATGGTTGTCAGGTGACAAAGCTGAACAAGAAGGACAAGTAAGTAGAGGCCAAAAAGGGCACCAACATCTAGATGGACACTGCATAGATGATTCAGAGCACAAATGTACATCTTTAATAACAACAATAAGTGACATTTACTGGGCACCCGCCATGTGCCAGGTGCTGAGATAATTACTTTACATGCACTATCCGGGTCAGTATTCATACTGTCACTGGATGGCGGAAGCAAGCTTTTGTTTTTTATTATTCCTGAGAAACAGATTTCATATCACACTCTTTAACGGGAAGAACAGACCTCTGAAGTCCAGCCGACCTGGTTCCAATCCTACGTGACTTTGAACAAAGTACTTAACTTTCTAAGTCTCAGTGTCCTCTACTGTAAAGTGGAGATATTAACATCAGTCTTGACGTGTTGCTGTGAGCATCGAGTGAGGTAAAAGGTCTCTCATGACCTCAGCAGGGTGGGAAACAGCACAGTGCAAAGTAAAGTCTGCCGACTCAGGGGCCACGTTCTGGCTCTAAGGCTTATCCTGCCTGGAACTGCCCAGGGCAGGTCAGTAGGTTACTCTGGTCCTTAGTTGTTGGTAGTGTGGACACTGACCCTTCTCTACTACCTGCTCTATATGAATATTTATTTATTTTTGGAGATTGGGTCTCACTCTGTCACCCAGACTAGAGCACAGTGGCATGATCATAGCTCACTTCAGTCTAAAACTCCTGGGCTCAATCAGTCTTCCCTTCTTGGCCTTCCAAAGTGCTAGGATTACAGGCATGAGCCACCACACTTGGCCTCTATATGATCATTTAAAAGCTGGAGTCATTACGAGAGTTTTGATAGCCCTAATACCTGACACACACCCCTCCTGGCTCTGTTTCCCTCCTGCTCCTTCCCCAGACTCACTCTGACCCAGCCACACTGGTGTGCTCCGTGTTTCTCAAACATACCATGCAGCCTTTGCACTTCGCATACACTCACACTCATAAACTGAGGTAGGCTTAAAAAAATAAAACAAGCCCTCCACACATTATGCGTTAATGGGGTTCAGAGGCTTTTAGGGAGCAGGGTTGTTTGCTGAGGGCCCAATCTTTCCAAAGTGACTTCGGAAAGGCACCCACCGTGGGCAGGCTGGGTGATGGCAGGATGATGGCAGTGATAGCATTTCTGATCTTTCGTCACTGCCCTGGGATGTGCTTCCCCCAGACACCTGCATGGCTTGCACCTCCACGTCTTTCAGACCTTTACTTCAAAGGTCTCCTATTGGAGGATAGACCCCCCCCTTTCCACCTTCAGCACACCCTGTACCGCTTTCCTGTTTATCTAGCATCCTATTTTGTTTATTAGCTGTTTCTCCACTTGAATGTAAGCCTCATGAGTGTAGGGATGATTTGGTTTGCTCACTGCCTGGCACTTAGTAGGTGTTAAAGTCACAATTCACCCAGATTATTTACGCAAGAAATGTCAATAACCATAAACATATGTGTAGTGCTTCCTATACACCAGCTGATAGTCTAAGAAATACACTTCATTTAACATAATATAAATATATATACATTTTCATTTAATTCTTACCATGATCCTATTTTATGGTTTTTAGAATGAAATAAAATGAAAAAGGCCACCTCATTGGTTGTTAGCAGTATAGACAATTAAACCCTAAGAAGAAAACCAGGCACAGAGAGGTTAAGTAACTTACCCTAGGCCACACATTGCATAAATAGAAGAGTTGAACTTCCAATCCAGGCAGAACATTCCAGAATGAACTACAATGTTCACAACAATGTCCACATGTTGAGTTCATCATGTGCCAGGGACCAAGGTGTGGCTCCTCCTTTACTCCTCATAATAGTTCTCTAAGGTAAGATTATAATTATAAAGTGAAGAAATCTGTAGATTAGTGAGGTTTGATAATACACCTAAGGCCATGCCTCTAGTTGTGGAACTGAGATTCACACTCAGGGTGTCCTACTCCAAAGCCTGAGCTCTCCATGATGGTGGTTTGTGGCTTGTGCATCTTGCTTATGTGACAAGAAGCCCACAAAAGCCCACCAGTAAAGAAAGTGCTTTACTCGCATAATGATCTGCACCTGCAGGAAATACTGTTATTATCAATGATGGTAGAAGTACCAGTAGGAGAGAAGGAGGAGAAGGAGGAAGAGAATTGAAGAGCTTGCCCTCTCTGAAATGGCTGGCATCTTGCCTGAAACTCTCCTAGGTCTTCTGCCTGCTTCCTTTCCTCATTTACCTGTCCTTCTCTTTTTTCAGACTTGAAGAATGTGTCCCAATGCTTTTTGAGTTCACAGTAGGTCTGGCATAGTGTCGTGTGTGTGTGTTTTCTTCACAGAGCTGGTGCTTAAGAAATACATGCTAAGAAACCAAGAGTAATGTTGTCTCCCAAACCATACTGAGCCCTCTGTCAGCCCCTAGTAGATACCCTAACAAAAATCTAGAGCTCACTTCCACTTCTAAAGGGTAAGGGGAGGGAACCCATGTCACACTCCAGGGCCATGACAGGCACTTTACACATAGGACTTCATTGAAGCCACAGAGGAGGCCAAGGAGGCTGGAGTTCTTATCCCCGCAGGGTCAGTGAAGGCATCGTAGGCTCAGGGAGGTGGGGGAGCTTGCCCGAGTCCACATAGCTGTGGGATGGCAGATCCGGAAAATGAATCCAGGCCCTATCTTCCTGGCTTTGGTGCCCGTTCCTCTTGCTGCTGTGGGAGTTCATTTTATCCTGGACAAGACTCTATAACCTGGGGCCCAGGTTACTATGTTGAATGCCATCAGTGCAGATAATTAAGCCCAGATGCACAAAAAGGGGCTTGGACTACCTATCCACAAGCCTCTGAAGTTACATAAAAATTTATGGACCAACACAGAGCAAAGGAGCAGAGGCCAACTTTTGAGTGTGTCATGCAATGTTCCTGGACCAGCTGAGGCCTAGGCTCCTCCTGGGGATGCTCTATCCTCCTTCCATCTTCCAGAGCAAGTTGTTGACAGCCGCACATGCTCATACTGCCAAAACTTCATACTGCTTATATTGCTCGTACAGCTCATACTGCCGAAACTTCATACTGCTGAAAGGGGCACTGAAGAGGCAGGAAACACAGTCTTGAATCCCTGAATCACCCCTCCCCCACCCCCAGCAGTGGCAGTGTTGTGGGGAGAGGGAGGGTGCAGCAATCGTGAGACATTGAAATCAGTGCTGTCCTTGTTGTAGGAGAAAGCAAAACTGGAACACATTCAGCTGGTGCTTGTCCATGGAGGGAGATTTAAACCTGCCCTACCAAGAGGGGAATCATTGATCCCATCGGTCAGAACTTGAGTCTCTGCAAGCCTTACCACTGTGGGCTAAAGTGCTCGGGGTTCTAAATAAACTTGAAATTTAGTCTAGGTCACAAGGACTGCAACTCCTAGCCAAGTTCTCGTGCTGAACTAGGCCCAGAGCCAGCAGACTAGGATGTGAGGGCCCACAATATACTGAAACAGCAACCAGAGCAGCTAAAGTAGTGCCAGCATCACCCTCCATTAACCCCAGGCTGCACAGCTCATGGTTCAAAACAATGAGACTCCTTCCTTCCACTTGAGGAGTGGAGATGAAAGAGTAGGGAGGACTTTGCCTTATATATTGGATGCCAGCTCAGCCACAGCAGGACTGGTCAGGCATGAGCCCACTTTCCAGGCCTTAGCTCCCACTTGACACTTCTGGGCATCCCCTGGGCCAGAAGGGAACAAGTTGTCTTGAAGGGAAGAACCCAGTTTTGGCAGGATTCATCACCAGCTAACTAAAGAACCCTAGAGCCCTGAATAACCAGCAATGATATCAAGGTACTATGTCAAGGGTCTTGGGTGAGACTCTGAGATTGCTGGCTTCAGATGAGACTCAGCACTTTCCCAGCTATGGTGGCTATGGGGTAAGACTCCTTCTGCTTGAGAAAAGTAGGGGGAAAAGTAAAGGAAACCTTGTTTTGCACCTTAGATACCAGCTTGGACACAATGGGGTACAGCATCAAGTGGGCTCCTGGGGTCCCTGATTCTAGGACTTGGCTCCTAGATGGCATTTCTGGACCCACTCTGGGGCACAGTGGAGCCCACTGCCCTGAAGGGTGAGTCCCAGGCCTAGCAGCATTCACCACAAGCTGACTAAAGAGCCCTTGGGCCTAAGGGAACATTGGCAGTAGTGTGGCAGTACTCTTTGTGAGCCTGAAGT